CCGCTTCCGAACACGCACACACTGGCGACCTCTCGACAATATGCGTTTTTGCTCGCTATAAATGTGTTTTCTGATTTTTTTCCCAAAATTTTACCGATAAACTGAATCCATCAAATCGGACAGAATCCGTAAACTTACTTCGGAATACCTAGGAAAAACATGTTTTTCATATTCATGATCCTGGTTTGTGCTGATTGAAACAGTGAATGAGTGAAAAATTTTTTTAACATCTGTATAAAATTCATTAGAATCAAGTAAACGAATTAATCTTCAACGAGATCCAAAATAATTTCACCTCTAATTTCGCCCTCCTCGAATTCAATTTTTTCCCGTCTTATCCCCTCTCCTTTGCTCTGTCCTCTTTTCCCCAAACCCTTTTTGCTCCTTCAAAAAATATAAAATAGAAAAAAACTCCCGCCGCCAAGTAGCAATAAAATTATGAACAAAAAGCCGAGAGTTGCCAAATGCGGTGAAACGTATGTGGTGCTTGAATAGCGCAAGAAAAACGTAAACGCTGACTAATCAACTTAGGGGGCGACCAGAGAAATACGAGTACTAAGGCAACTGCTAAAATTCATCTCCGCTCGGCCCAGGCGCGGGATGCGACGGATTACAAAGAATGTGGTTAGCCTCCTCGGGCGGCAGAATAGCGCAGACGTGGGTAGGATAAGGGGCCAAGGGCGGTGACTCAGATGGCAGAGGTTGTAGCAGGAGGGGGATGACTGAGCCAGCAACAGGGAAGAACCAAGCACTCCATGTCAGCGGGGCCGAACCACAACCGGGCCAGCCCAGCTGACCGAGACGAGGTAGCTGATGCGGCCGAGCTCACACAGCCGAGACGGCCGAGCTGGTGCAGCCGAGGCGGCCGAGCCAGTGCAGCCGAGACGGCCGAGCTGGTGCATCCGTACAGCCGAGCCGGCCCAGTCACGGGGCCGAGTTTTGGCAATAGTGCTAAAACTCGACCCGGCTTGACTTGGCTCGGTAGGTGGTACGAACTGCGAAAATTGGTGCCTGTGATGGGTAGTGCTGCTGGGTAACATGGGTTTTAGGGGTAGTAGGTGGGAGGCAAGCAGGCGTTGTGGTGCGCGTTTGGTTCCGGAGACTCGGGGTAGAGGAGGGATTGGGTGATAGGCAACTAGTAAATTCGGCTCGGTAACGCAACATACACTCGTTCGTTTATAGATGTGGCAGGATTAATAAGAGAATCAGG